TGATCTCTGAGATGAGAGGGTTCATCGTATAGAAGCTACACTCAATGGCACCAACCTTACAATGGCCCTCTGATTTCTCTGGAGCCAGAAGTAGGGGCATGGAGGCAAGTTCAGTGCATCTGACATTGTCACTCTGCGTCCCACACCTCTCACTTTTCTTGAGTCTTCACCCTTCCCCTGGACTACAAGCTGAGCCTTATGGAGCCCGCAGGCAGGACTTCCAGAGCTACAGATAGGCAGAAGCCCTGTAAGAGGCACCTCACAGCACCATCGACCCAGCCTGACTCTTGAGTTCAGTAGAGCTCAAGGACAGTGCAAACAAAATTCATACTCATCACTTTGCAATCATCGTGGTAATCACCAATTCAGGTAGAAATCATCAGTGGATATTAAAACCTTTAAGTGAATATTTGATGAATAGCAAGATATACACTGTCACAAAGAATTTCCCCAAAGATAATTTATTACCAAAAAAAAACCTGGTAATTTCACAGTGGAGAAGCCTGGCAGGCTCCGCCTTAACCAAGTGATCAAAATTTATTTCACGACTAATGGTGCAAACTGACATGAGGTGCCCTCTGATATGACGGGCAGAGATTGGCATGTCACTCCTGCAGTGTTACTACCCAAAGTGCATCAGCTGACCCCAATTAGGAGGAAACACCAGAGAAACAAAGTTATAGTCTATAAAGTAACAGCCCTGTACTCTTATAAAATGGATCGAATACTGGCAATGGGAATGGGGAGAAGGGAAGCCAAGGAAAGAACTGGAAAGCTCAGTCTAATAAAGTGTTCTCTTCCATCTGTCGCATGTGTTACCTTCTCTGTGGAGGGGTGAGGGAAGGTGTATAATCCGAGACCTCTTTATGCCTAAAACTTCTCTCCATAAATGCTCTGCAAACTGGTAACACTGAGTGTCTCTGGGGAAGGGAGGTAGACAACTGGACTGGGAGACAGCCCGACTTTTCACTCTAACCTTCTCATCCTATTTGAATGTTGTGGTGTTTTTTTTGTTTATTTGTTATTTATTATTTATTATTAGTTTATTTGGAGAGAAGAGAGCTTGAGCAGGGAGGGGCAGAGAGAGAGGGAGACAGACTCTCAAGCAGCCTCTTAGCTAGGCTCTGAGCCTACCACAGGGCTTAATCCCACAACCATGAGATCACGAGCTGAGCCAAATTCAAGAGTCAATGCTTAACCGACTGAGCCACCAAGGCACCCCATTTTAATGTTTTAAGTCACTTCAAAGTGTAGAGTGCCTGGCTGGCTCAGTTAGCAGAGCGTGGGTCTACTAACATGATCTTGGGGTCATGAGTTCAAGCCTGACACTGGGTTTACTTAAAAATAAAATCTTAAATCATTCCAATGTGTTATGTATTTAAGGGGGATTTTTTTTTTTTTACAAATAGTTTATTGTCAAATTGGTTTCCATATAATACCCAGTGCTCATCCCCACAAGTGCCCTCCTCCATGCCCATCCCCTCCTCCCCCCAAGGGGGATTTTTTAACTTAACCTTAAAAGATAGCTCTCAAAATAATAGTAAGTAGGAGAAAACAAACATTATATGAGTACATGTTATATGATTCCATTTATATAAACTGTAAAACTAGTTAAAATAAATAAAAGGCAGGCTAAGAGACATATTTCCCGATTTCAGCACTTATACAAAGTTACAGTAATAAAAACAGTGTGGAGCTGGCATAAAGACAGACATACAGACCTATGGAATAAAATTGAGAGTCCAGAAATAAACTCATACATATATGGCCAATTGATTTTCAACAGAGGTGCCAAGACTAGTCAATGGGGAGAAATATTTTCTTCAACACATGGTGGTGCAAAACAATGAAGTTGAATCCTTGTGCCATATCATATGCAAAACTTAATACAAAATGCATCAACAACCTATATATAAGGGCTAAAACCATAAACTTTTTTTTAATGTGTATTTATTTTGAGAAAGAGAGAGCACATGCACATACAAGCTGGGGAGGGGCAGAGACAGAGGAGAGAGAAGCCCAAGCAGGCTCCTCACTGTCAGTGCAGAGCCACACATGGCATTCAAACCCATGACCTGTGAGATCGTGGCCTGAGCCAAGACTAAGAGTTGGACACTTAATCAACTGAGCCACCCAAGCGCCCCCTAAAACCATAAACTTTTACAAGAAACCATAAGGTTAAATCTTCATGAACCCTGGATTTGGCAATGAATTCTTGGTGATATGATACCAAAAGCACACACAACGAAGAGAAATTAGGTAAACTGGAATTCATCAAAATTTAAAAATTCTGTGCGTTAAATGCTATCATCAAAAAAGCGAAAAGATAACCTATAGAGGGGTAGAAAGTATTTACAAACCATATACCTTTAAAAGGTCTAACACCCATAATAAGGCTGAGTCAGCTGAGCACCTGACTTCAGCTCAGGTCATGATGTCAGTTTGTGAGTTCCAGCCCTTCATCAGGTTCTGTGCTGACAGCTCAGAGCCTGGAGCCTGCTTCGGATTCTGTGTCTCCCTCCCTCCCTCCCTCTCTCCCTCCCTCTCTCCCTCTCTCTCTCTGTCTCTTTATCTCTCTCTCTCTCTCTCTCTCTGCCCCTCCCCAGCTCATGCTCTCTCTCCCTCTCAAAAATAAATAAACTTTAAAAATAAATAAATAAATAAACAAATAAATAAAAGTTCTAATACCCAGACTGGATAAAGAACTCTTACAACTCAGTAGACAACAAAAAGACAAACAATCCAATTTTATAAAATAAGCAAGACACACAAATGGCCAATAAGCATATAAAAAGATGCTCAACACAATAGTCATTAGTGAAATGCAAATCAAAACCACAGTAAGATACCACTTCACACCCACTAGGATGGCTCTAATTAAATAAAACCAAACCAAACCAAAACAAAACAGAAAAGAAGTGCTAGCGAGGACATGGAGAAACAGAAACACTTGTATAATCCAAGTAGGAGTGCTAAAAGGTGCTGCCTTTGTGGAAAACAGCCTGGCAGTTCCCTCAAAAAGTTAAAACATAAAATTAGCATCCGATCCAGCAATTCTACCCCTAGGTAGAAACTCAAAAGAATTGAAAACAGGAATTCAAAAAAATACTTCTACATGAATATTGATAGCAGCGCTATTCACAAGAGTCAAAAAGTAGAGGCAACTCAAATGCCTATCAACGGATGACTGGATAAACAAAATGGGGTGTATTCACACGATGGAACGGTATTCATCTATAACAAGGAATCAAGTGTCAATACCTGCTTCAATAATTTTAAGACTGTGTCACTTTTCCTAAGATGTAATAGGAATTTTTAAAATAAATAGACATTGATGAAGCAGTGACTTTTTTAAATTTTTTTTTCAATGATAATTTATTTTTGAGAGAAAGAGGTAGAATGGAGGAGGGGCGGGGGGTGGGGAGAACAGAGGATCCCAAACAGGCTCTATGCTGACCGCCAAGAACCTGATGTGGGGCTCAACGCCATAAACCGTGAGATTGTCACCTGAGTTCAAGGTAGACACTTAACCAACCAAGCCACTCAGGCGCCCCTGAAGCAGTATATTTTTTTAATGCAGCGAAGTAGAGATTTCTCCAAAAAATGTGATCATTTTTAACATTTAATAATTTAGTACATCCTATCAGGTTAATAAAGGTATGTTGTATAAAAAGAAAAGTTTTAAAAATCATTTTATTGTAACATAAAACCTATAAAACTTGTATCTACATCTGTATGACCATATGAGTGATATATTTATCTTAAAATAGAACCAAATTCTGGAACAACACAGCCCAGCGGAAATTTCTGCATGATGGAAATGTTTTATATTTTCACTGTCTAGCAGGGTAGCCATGAGGCACAATTGGCTGTCAAGAACTTGAAATGTAGCTAGCATAGTGAGGAACTGAATTTCTAATTCTATTTATTTTTAATTAGTTTAACTTTATCTAAATGGCACATGCTACTTGCACTATATTAAACAACACAAATCTCTATAGCATTTTGAACACACTTAATTCATTCAACATTGATTGGCAAGATCTTTCCCATTCAATAAGCACTTCTCAAACATTAGTACCTATGTACACAATACCACGAATAGGTTAAAAAGCATAATGTAAAACTAGACTCCAATAACAGTAGCACCAAAAATATGGAACAAATTTTAAAGACTATACATGACCCAAATTTAAAACCTAGAATATCTTACTGAGGTATTTTCTCAAAAGATTAGAAACAGTGACCTAAAGCATGAACCCAGGAAACCAGAAGAACAAAATAAAGCATAAGTACTAAGAATTGGGAAAATGAGGGAGATAACTTGGGGGGATGGGGGGGGCATGAGGCTAGCTCTCCTTTAAACAGGAGAATCAGGAAGACATCTTCTGCCAACATCTACAGTTGAAAGTGAATGAATCATGTGAATGAAGAAACAGAGAAGTGGTTTCTAGACCCAGGTTTATCAATGATTGACATTTGGGGCCAGATCATTCTTTGCTGTGGAGATGGTCCTGTCCGTTGCAAGGTGTTTAGTAGCATCTCTGGTCTTTCATCCCTGCCAAGAGCCCCTCCCCCTGCCCCAACTGTGACAACCAAAAGTGTCTCCAGAAGTGGCCAAAAGTCCCTGGGGAGAGAGGAGGGGGAGGGAGGAGAGGGAATAGCCCCTGGAGAGAACCACCTGTCTACACAAAGAGTTAACTCAAAGGCCCTGAGGTGGGACAGGACTTGGCAGAGAGACTGCCAGGTCCAATGTGGGCAGGAAAGACGATGCTAGGTACAGCAGAGACATGTGGGGCCTACACGTGCCATCCTTTGTAGGAATGTGGGTTTTATTCTAAGAGAAAGGAGAAAACATTGAGCCTTGAAGGGTTTTAAAGAGGCACAGGACATGACCTGCTCTGTATTTTAAAAGAGCACTCATGTGGAGAATGGTCTGCAAGGGAGATCATTTAGTATAGAGAATTGTAGAGAATAATGTTAACAGCCCAGCCTCTTACCTGATGATGAGCTTCTCCAGGCCTTAGTTTCCTCAGGTAAAACGGAGATAAGAATAGTACACATACCCTGTCAAAAACACAAGAAATAACAAGTGTTGGCAAGGACAAAGGACCCCTCTTGCACTGTTGGTGGGAATGCAAACTGGTGCAGCCACTCTGGAAAACAGTATGGAGGCTCCTCAAAAATGTAAAATAGAACTACCATATGATCCTATAATTCTACTCCTCAGTATTTACCCCAAAGAAAATGAAAACACTAATTCAAAAAGATATATGCACCCCTATCTTTATTGCAGCATTCTTTATAACATTCAAGATATGGAAGCAACCCAAGTATCCATCCATAGATAAATGGATAAAGAAGGGGATATACAGAATGGAATATTACTCAGCCATAAAAAAAGAACGAAATCTTGCCATCTGTAACAATATGGATGGAGCTATAGTGATGTCAGAGAAAGATAAATACCATATGATTTCATTCATATGTGGAATTTAAGAAACAAAACAAATGAACAAAGAAAAAAAGACACAAACAAAGAAAAAAGGCTCTTAAATACAGAGAACAAACTGGTGGTTGCGAGAAGGAAGGTGGGTGGGGCGTGGGTAGAATAGACACAGGGGATTAAGAGCCTACTTACCTTGATGAGCACAGAGAAATGTATAGAATTGTTGACTAGCTATATTATACACCAGAAACTAACATAACACTGTATGTTAACTATATTGGAATCAAATAAATAATAAATAAAATTTTTGAAAGTAAGTAAAATAAAAATTTTTAAGTGTATACATTTTTTAAAAAACATGGTTTGGGGAAAAAATTGCTTTGGTAGCAATGGGGAGTGAGAGACTGGAAGCAGAAGACCAGCTAGCAGGCTACTGCAATACTCCAAGCAAGAGAAGATGAATATTAGGGCTAGGGCTGTGTCGGTGAGGTTGAAGAGGAAGATGAATGCTCCCAGAAGTATTCTGAAAGTAGAATTCAAGTTTGGATGAATGACTGGATATAGGGGTGAAGACAGGAAAGGGTGTTACGCAGGATTGGGGCTGAGAAACTGTTTGTTTTTTTTTTAAGTTTATTTATTTTGAGAGAGAGAGAGCACAAGCATGGGACATGGGCAGAGAGAGAGGGAGACAGAGAATCCCAAGCAAGCTCCACACTGTCAGTATAGAGCCAGACGCAGGGTTCAAACCTACAAACAATGAGATCATGACCTGAGCCAAAGTCGAACACTGAACTGACACCCAGGCGCCCCAGAAAGATTTTGTGCTAGGAGTCACCCTTACCCCCAGATCCACTCATTCCCCTTCCTCCAGTAGCTCCTAGAAGGCTGAATGGATGAGATCTGTCTGATTCTCATCAAGAGAAGCTGAAACATGTGCTTTCCTACACACCCACTATGGGAAAAGAACATCCATTGACATTTTCTGCTTTTCCTCCATGCCAATGAGCAGGAGAAATGCATCCAACATAAAGAAAGTATTTCAGATTTTTTTCCTTTTCCTTATGTAAACGTTGGATTTCCCCTCGCTTTGAGGTAGCCTGACCCAGAGCAGTTACAGGATGCTGCATTTGCATGCAGCTCTATTGGCCGAAGCCAGCTGGCAAGGACTGCTGGGTAATTGTCAGCCACTTCACAAGGAGTTAGGGATATTATGAGCTTGTAAATCAGGAGACAGCAGCTTGCTCACAAAGTGGCTTTGCTCAAGAAGATGGGTCCTGACTTTGAAAAGCTGAGATAGAAGTGGCCTCAGAGAACTGTGGGATCTCTGCTTCCCCATTTTTTTCCCAAAAGCCAATAAAAAAAAAAAAATGCTAACGCTGCTCACATTCCACAGGGATGAATCTTGTTTATCCCTAGGCACAGCTCTACCTGCCAAAAAACTGCTAATTCGTTTTCCTTCTACTGGAGAGACTGAGTCAGGACTCAGGGGGGCTATTCTCACCTCTCAGGCATCCCTTTCTGGCTCTCCCCTGACTCTGTGCAGACAGGGAAGAAGTGAATTTAGCCAAGCCAACACTCTGAGGTTGAGTGCAAAGCCCAAGCAGCCCCAGAGCCCGTGCCTTCAAGCATCTTTGTCAAGGGCTGCGGTACAGGAGACATGCGTGAGCAAGATCTTAACAGCAGGCATGTCCTTGCCTTCAGGGGAGGCTCTAGCCCTATTCTTTGGAAACCAGCAACTCACCTCTCCACGTGGCTCCACGTAGAAGAGGGAGCCACCGGAAGTTCTACTACCCTCACTTACAAGGTTCCTCTGCTTTCCATCTCCAATCTCTTCTCACTCACTCCCCAACCCATAACTATATTAACTAGATCTTTTAGGTTCTATATTCTGATGCTTCGGCATCTGGGGTGACTTCCCACCCCAGGGTTAGCCAATTCCTAGAGATAATATACCATTCACCCACAAGTGCACCTTTCAAGTGCAAACCAGCCAATCTAATTTCATCCATCTAGTTTATCAATCGAACTTAGTTAACAGTCGAATTTGCTGGTGCCCACATTCTCAACCATCTCGTTATTAGGCTCTCACACTCCAACCCACTAGCCACCTGCCCTAATCATCACAGGGCCAGGTACCAGCCAACTGGAGTCACCCCTGTGCCCCCAGAATCCCCTGCAATTATTCACACTAGCAATCCTAAACCTGTTTATCTTCTCACCCATTCTTTCCCACAGAAACCCCCTCTCCCTCCTCTGCCTCCTGATTCCCAGAGTGGCCCCCTGCGGATCGTGTGTCCCTCCACTTAGGATCTGTGAATGTAACAAACGACTTTTCTTTTTTTATTATTTATTTATTTTTTATTTTATTTTTTTACAAATAGTTTATTGTCAAGTTGGTTTCCATATAACACCCAGTGCTCATCCCCACAAGGGCCCTCCTCCATGCCCATCTCCCCCCCCCCCCCCCACACCCATCAGTTCTCAGTTTGTTCTCGGCATTCAAGAGTCTCTCATGGTTGGCCTCTCTCCCCCTCCCCCACTATTTCCCCCTTCTTCTCCCCCATGGTCCTCCATTAAGTTCCTCCTAATCCTCCTATACGTGCAAACATATGGTAAATGTCCTACTCTGCCTGACTTATTTCGCTCAGCATAACACCCTCAAGGTCCATCCATGTAGCTACACATGGCCAGATTTCATTCTTTCTCATTGCCATGTAGTATTCCATCATATAGATAAACTACATCTTCTTGATCCATTCGTCCATTGATGGACACTTAGGCTCTTTCCATGTTTTGGCTATTGTGGAGACTGCTGATATGAACATTGGGGTACATGTGCCCCTATACATCAGCACTCCTGTATCCCTTGGGTAAATTCCTAGCAGTGCTATTGCTGGGTCCTAGGGGAGTTCTATTGTTAACTTTTTGAGGAACCTCCACACTGCTTTCCAGAGGGGCTGCACCAGTTTACATTCCCACCAACAGCGTAGGAGGGTGCCCGACAAACGACTTTTCAAGAGCAGTCATCTCCTGATCTGTTGACCTTGCTATACCTATATAATAATCCAGGTATACTAATAATAAAACCTATATTTTTAAACAATGATCTCAGACTTCAACTCCCACCTGCTTCTGGAACTGTCCTCACCAGTGACCTCCTTGTTGCTAATTCTCATGGATACAGCTTAGTCTTCACTTGACACGCTGAGCATTCCCTCACTGAAATACGCCCATTTCTGTGTGTGGCCTCTCCTGGCTCTTCTAGCCTTCTGCCACTCCTTCTCACACTCCTTTGCTGCCCTTCCTCAAGTATCAGTGCTCCTTCAGATCCTGTCTCAGGCTCCGTCTTCTTTTAGGCCTGCAATGCTCCCTGGGTGCCCATTACCATCTATTTACCAACACCTGCCAGATATCCACCCCCCACTCAGACCCCACTCCTCAGCCCCAACCTGGACCTCTCCACATGTATATCCCACAGGTACCTCAAGCTCAACTTGCCCAACGCTAAATTCATGATCTTTTGCCCCAAAGCTGCCTTGTCTCTTCTCATCCTGCAGAAGAGTTCTTGCAACCCTCACCAAACACATCTAGGGAATGCCTATGTCTTATGAATTCTACAAACTGCATCTCCCTCACCTGTCCTATTCTCCTCCATCTCCTCTTTCAAGATCTCAGCCTCCTCAACTGAGCCCCTACACTCCCAGTTGCTCTACACCCACTACTGTGCTCCTTTCTAACCCCACACCATTGCCCTGACTTCCATTCACTCTCCAAAGTGCAAGTCTCATCACGCTTCCACCCTGCTTTGGAGATTTCCTTGGTTCTCCACTGCTTATTGGATAAAATCCAAACTCTTCAGCCTTGTAAATCCAGTCTCTTGTGATCTGGCTCCTCTTCCTTCCCCAACCGTGTCTCAGGTACCACACGTGCCTCCTCCTCCTCCACACTTGAGCCACAGAGAACTTCAGAATATGCAGCTCCCCAAACACACTTCCCTCCTCCATGCCTTTGCCTCTGAGCATCCCTCTGTTGAGAGTGCCATTCTTCTTCTTTCCAGAAAAACAACCACTGCTTTCTCCCAAATTCTCCTTGGAATCCCCTCTCTTTTTTTTGCCTCATAGGCAGCAACTATAATACTTGATTGCTCTTAGTTTTTCATATTCATTCAAAAATACCTACTGAATAATTAAAATGTCAAAAATCAAAAATAAAGAATATTAAAAGCTGTAGGAGAAAAGCCGCTAGTTATATATAAAGGAAATCCCATAAAGCTATCAGCTGATTTCTTAGCAGAAACTTTGCAGGCCAGAAGAGAGTAGCAGGATATATTCAAAGTGATGAAAGGAAAAACCCTACAGCCAAGAATACTCTACCGGCAAGATCGTCATTCAGAATTGAAAGAGAGAGAAAAAGTGTTCCAGACAAAAATTTAAAATGTTCACCCCACTAAACCACCCTTAAAAGAAATGTTAAAAGGCCTTCTTTAAGGTGGAAAAAAGGCCATAACTAAAAGAGAGAAAATTATGAAAGGGAAAAAATTCACTGACAAAAGCAAGCATATAGTAAAGGTAGCAGATCAATCACCTATAAAGCTGGTACAGAGGTTAAAAGGCAAAGG